ACATCATTTCCTTTTATATGGAGTAAATCGTGATCTAGTGTACCGAAAAATGAAAAGAGCTTTATAAAATTTCCTCTTATTCAATCTATATTGCAATAAAGTAGCACACCATACAGTGAGTGCTGTAGATAATAAAGAATGTTATGTACACAGGCTTTGTCTGGACCACACAATGCTGTAAGTTTGTAAGGATGAGCATTGCATTTGTTTTGAAAATAATAGGGTGTACAAATGGTATTTTGATTTGAAAGACTCAATTAGAAAGATTTCAATTAATCAAGGGTTTCGTGGTCAGGAATTCCTACAGTTAAAGTTGGGGGATCTCAAACTTTTTCTGGCACTGACCTGCCACTCCATTCTATAGCTCAAGAACCCCGAACCAAGGAAATGTACAGTATGAACATAATGGCGAAAGTACTCATTTACATGAAATACCGTAACAAGATCTCCGTTCTGGAATATGGTGTATGAAGGGAATGGGCCAGTGTGGGACAGGAGGGAACAAGAGGAGGAGCAGGCAGAGTCTCTCCAGATGTCAGATGTGGTTGTTGTTGTTTGCCCTGCGTGTGGTTCCCTATTGCAGTTTGCATTAGGAATGCCATTACAATTTCAACACAAATATCATGACACATAACACATTTAAGTTACTTTGGTGTATGCTTCAGCTGTGCTATGTTTCACGTCTGCATTTTAAAAATTGTTTTTATTATAGATGGAACCACATAAAGAGTGCTATATACTGTAAGTGCATGTACCAGACTGAACTGGACAGAAAAAAGTCAAAGGTCTGATATAGGACATAGGAGACTGATAAGACATTATCATATACTTAAGAAAGATATACTTAAGAAAGTACAGTGATAATGGAGGACACCACACAGAGTAAAGGGGTACCACACAGTGATACACCATAAAGACTTCAGCCTTAGAAAAAACAATATATGTGAAAAAAATTAAGACAAGAAATGACATGAATTCTGGACCTGGGGTGCTATTTTCCCAGAAGTCAGTTAACCTACCAGTATGGGTCTGGACTGTGGGAGGACACCGGAGCACCCTGAGGAAATCTATACAAACACAAACAAACGCCACACAGATAGCTACCCAGGACTTGAGCAAAGGACCCCAAAGCTGTGAGGCAGCAATGCTAATGACAGGCCATTAATAGTAATAAAGTTAATACACATGATAAAATTCACAGAGCCCCACAGAGTGCTCTACTCAGGATTTTCCCGTTGTGAATATTGAGCTACTGAAGGCATGAAAGAGGGAGCTGGCATCTATGGTAACTGCAGTAATAAAGGTCAACCTGAATCATCTTTACTCTGCTGGGTTTAAAAACATGACAACAGTCCCCCCCTCCCGAGTTGTCAGTGATAGAGTTTTCACAGAAACAGGTGGACTGAAAAGCCCTCGACTTCCTGCCATTGTGCTTAACACAGTGCAGCCACACAACACCGACTGGGAAACAGCCACTGTATGCAGCACCAAGTGGTAACACAGCCCAGAGCATCACAGTGTAGAGTGACGATAAAGCTCATTATTACTCAATACCTTGCACACAAAAGCATCAAATAAAGAGCTGAAATGAAACAAAACCAGAGTAAAAAATGAGGGGTGTTAAAACCTGTTTTTTTCAATAAATATATGGCAATATCTTTTTACCAAGTGCATGTTTGGATATGTTTTGATGCAAGGTAATAAAAGAATGTAGGAACTTCTTTTGACCTCAAGAGTCGTACTTGTAGCTGTAATATCTTTTCTGACCTAAGAATGGTAACAAACTAGAAGAGGCCATAAGGCCCTTCTAGCCCATGAAGTAGTTAGTAGCTAATTGATTTGAGGCTCTCTTCCAGCCATTTCTTGAAAGAAGTCAATATTCTTAATGGGGTCTTTCATTAGACCTCAACTGGTGCATTGTACAATTTTAGCTTAAATTTCCTTCAGTGAAATTCCGTGTTTTTTACTAAATATCCCAAGATTTTGTTTGTTTTGTATTGCTCCACACATTGTCAACAAAATTATTAATCTTCTTCATTACAAACCTCGGAAAGATCGGTGTTTCCCATTTCTCTTAATCTAGTTTATGTTTTTATTCATTTGATTTAGTTTATGGTTTTTGCTACCTGCTTGTAATATTCTACAGTACACCTGTCTACATTAAACACTATCTGCCAGGTGTCTGCCCAGTCTTCCATTTAACTGCAAAGGAACAAGTAATAGGTTTATTCCAAGCTGAAAAAGTGGAGCCCTCTTCAGGTGTGTGAAGGCTCCACAGCCGAAACGTTGTGTTTTCTTTCTTCTCTTTTCAGCATGGAATAAACCTATTACTTGTTCCTTTGCAGCCTGTGCATGCTGACGCAGCTACCCACCTGAACTACTTCCATTTAACTGTATCTGTTTTTTTTATTTCATTGGCTGCTTCTGCAGCACTTGTTAATCTTCCGTTTTTGGTGTCACCTGCAAAGTTGACAAAGTTGATTTTCAGTACCAAACTCTCCTTCGGTGATCTTCACTATTTTTTAGAGAAGGGCTCTTTCTCCAATAAGTCAGTTGCTCAATTTTGTTTCCTTAAGGTGCTACCTGGTGGGTGTTTGTCGTTACAATTGGCAGAGTTTTTTGTGTAATGGCATTCAAGATTGCTGCACTTAAGAGCAGAACATGATGAGTAGGAAATTAAACTGGCTTTGAACCACATTCATTCAGCACAAAGACAACCACATCCCTTTTTGGGATTTTGTTTTTAAATTGACTTCTGATTCCAAAGCACTCGCCTTCCTTTTCTTGTGCGACTCTGCGTCTGTATCTGCGATGGTGCTTCCTTAGGGCTCTTTACTGTCATGATCCATGCTTTCGGCCAACAGGGGCTGCCAGTGGCTTGTAGGACCTCCAGAAGAAAAGCATCACTGATATAAGAGCCGTGGGCCTAGTATAGAGCTCTGTGGTACTCCACTAATTACATCACTGATAAAGAAGAGTAAGAGTAGTGGTCCTAGTACAGACCCCTGCGGTACTCCCCTTAGTGCATTAGCCCAAGAGACATTCACAGTCCAAGTTCTCAGTCCAAGCTCACACATTTCCCTAAATGCCTACCATCTTGAATTTGACCATTAATCTTTAGTTTTGAAAATTTTTAGCAAAAGCCTTGTGAAAATGGAAATATATTGTACTGTATGGTCTGTGTGTGCCCATGAATACCGTTGGTTGTTCACAGTTATAGGTAGTTAAGATCCCAAATTAACAGTATTAATCTGTTTCCTAGCTGTAACACCAATGAAAAAACAAATATTTTCCAACAGAAACCTTAATAAATTCTTAAGAAAGAGTCGCAGTCCGAAAAGCATTATAGATCAGAAGCTCTAGATTGATTTCTTTATGTGCCTTGGTTGTATTTTGAGGTATTTCTCAATTAAAATGCTGGCTTCACAGAAAAATAAAAACAGCAAACTTTAAAAAAAACTATTTGACTGAAGCTGTCATTCAAAGGGACTTGCACATTTAAACAGCTGGGTATTTTACTGGGGAGTTCTGAGTGAAGTACGTAGCCCCAGGGTGCAACAGCAATCCTTCTGCAATAAACATGACAGCATAACGAAAGCGAACTTAAATCGTTTCACCACAGTTCATTATAGTGAAGCAGCTGTGCCTCTGGATATTTGGAAGACGGACACTCTGGGGTTAGGTCTGCTGAAAGATAGCTGTGATGTGTGCCTACTTAAGGAAATAGGGGCTTTGTCTCGTATGGTGATTTCATGTGGCACCTGACCCCCACCTGAATATACCCTTCACCCCCATCTTTTGCCACTCTTCGGAGAAGCCTGTGAAAACCCAGGTCCCCTGCGTGTGCTCTATCTACTGTAGGAGTGGAACAGGGCCCTTGTGGAAGGCTGACCTTTGTCGCTGTGAACCTCGGTTCCAGTTCATTTGAACAATTCAGCTGTTGTCTTTCCTCTCTCGTTACCTCCAGGACTACAGCAAAGACAACATGGCCAGCCTTTGTTGCCTTCAACATCCCGAGAATCTAGTGAAGCAACAGTAGTAGCTTCATCACAGTTGCAATACACAAAAAGTCAAACCAATCCCAGCTGGTCTGGCAAGCAAAGACTAACAGGAGAACTGTATTTAACCAGCTCTTGCTCTGAGATGCTTTTTTGGTGGTTTGGCCTGGTATATTATATTGGTTAATGATGGGTAAACTATGACAATGCAGTGAGGTGAACAGTTGCATTACTTACTTTATTTTTAATGGGGCACCTTCATGGGTTTTCAAGTACCATTCGAGGACACATGTTCAGATTTTGATCAATAGCTTGAAAAGACGCTGTTTGTTCTCCCCATACAGTAGGTCACTCAGTGCTTTTCTTACTTTCCGTACTTCAGTTTTAATCTGTTTAATTTTGTAAGCACAGTACAAAATGTTGCACAACACAACAACTTCTGACTGTTACACTATTCTATAACACAACAACTATACCATTGCAGAATATTACATTATACTATAACACAAGAACTACACCACTGCAGACTGTTACACTATACTACAACACAACTTTACCACTGTAGACTGTTACACCATACGACAACACAACAACACAACAACTACACCACGTCTGACTGTTACAGTATACTATAACACAACAACTATACTACTGCAGACGGTTACACTATACTATAACATAACAACTATACTACTGCAGACTGTTACACTATAATATAACACAACAACTACACCACTGCTGACTGTTGCACTATTCTGTAACACAACACTATACCGTAACACCGCTGTATCACTGCAGGCTGTTGTGCTAATACGCTGTTATGGCAAAGGTGCAGTTCTTGCAGTCTGTTGAAATTACTGTACATCTGCAAACCCAAAATGGGGGTAATTAGATATTATTTATAGTATTGTGAGAGCTTCAGCTTGGTATTTTTTCCCCGAATGAATATGAGCTTGTTGGTGTTTGCCATATAGCAATCAATATTTATTTCTTCCTTCACAGGATGGCGTAGGCATAGATGAGAAAGTATCCCTAAGACAAGTTGCTGTCGTTGAGGATTTCTTCGACATTATTTACTCCATGCACGTAGAAAATGGAACCAATGGGGAGAAAACGCGGAAGCATGCTGGTCAGAAGAGGACATACAAAGCGGTAAATTTCGAGCTTCAAGAAAACCTCTCTCTCTGCTCTTTAATGCATGCGGCTTCCCAGTGGTGCTGTCTCACAGGGCTTGGGTCCTGGTTGACTTTTGGCTTGGCAACCTTCTGTGTGTGATTTCTGTGTTAATGTCCTTTTTCTTCTGGTGCAGCAGTTTCTCTGGTGTCCCAAAGACATGGTGCACTGGCTAGACTAATGGATGTCTTTACATCGTCTGAGTGTGTGTGTGTCCTGCAATTAACTGCTATTACCTCCAGGCTTCAGGCTGCTGCAGGCTTTACCAGGAGTTAACTGCTTTCTGATAATATATTGATGTGGCGTTTTGTGAAGATTTCACAGGGTAAATGCTTAATTCCATGTAGTTTCAGAGCACCTTGATGTAAAAAAGGACATGGATGTCTTGCTACATTTGTAAGGATTTAATCTGTTTTACACTCTCTGAATATATTTTATGTATGTCCTTGAATGAAACTTGTGAAAACAGAACAAAACAATGCAAGAAGCAAAACTACAAAGAAAGATATGGCTGGTTCTCATGTGAAATGGTGATAATCTACGCGCTGATCCGTCTGTCAAGTTTGTGATTCACACAAGGCTTGGGGAACATCATATTAATTACAAGTGTATTCTGAGTGACTGCTTTGATCACAAGGTGTTACAAGTAGGAATGCGGTGCTTTGTGAAGTTGTACACTGAATACCCAAATTAGAAGAAGGCTCCATCAATTCCTGTCTGAAAGTGTTCAATGGTAATTCAGAGTAATTCAGAGGAGGAAGTGGAAGAGGCTCAATTGTTGTGGGGCCTCATCCTGAGATCTGGAAGGGAGCAGTCTGCGAGCAACACTGAAAGCCATTCATTGTGAAACCAACCATGAAGCTCCAGGCTGCAGCTCTGGGAAGAAGAATGAGTACAGCACAGACATGAGCCATGAGCAGCTAGTGAGGGCCTAAGGTTGTAATGAGCGGACAGAAATGTTCTGTCTACGGAAAAGCTTTCTCACACCTGCACACTCGTTTTCATTTCTGTGAGGAGCCTGTGGACTATGACCTTCACAGGGAACACAGAGTCTGTGGGCTATGATCTTCACAGGGGAACACAGAATCGGTGGACTATCATCAACACAGGGGAACACAGAGTCTTTGGACTATGATCTTCGCAGGGAACAGAGGGTCTGTGGACTATGATCAACACAGGGGAACACAGAGTCTGTGGACTGTGATGAACACAGGGGAACACAGAGCCTGAGGAATATGATCAACACAGAGTCTGTGGACTATGACCTTCATGGGGCAACACAGAGCCTGAGGAATATGATGTTCACAGGGAGCACAGAGTCTGTGGACTATGATCTTCACAGGGAGCACAGAGTCTGTGGACTATGATCAACACAGGGGAACACAGAGTCTTTGGACTATGAACTTTGCAGGGGAAGATAGAGTCTTCGGACTATGATCTTTGCAGGGAACACAGAGTCTGTGGACTGTGATCAATACAGGGGATCACAGAGTTTGTGGACTATGAACCTCACAGGGAACACAGAGCCTGAGGACTATGATCTGTACAGTATACCAGAGCAAATGGAATATGCTACAAGATGCCTCCTAAAAACCCTAAAATCACTCATAATTTTCCTTTTCCTAACATAATCCAAATAGGGTGCTTCGGTAACATGTGGTATCAGTTTCAAATGCTGCTTACAGTAAGTTTGTTTTTGCATAACATAGAAGCAAAGCATTCTGATAATATTTATGCAATTTATATGAGTGCTGTGTTAAGAATTCCTTATTTTATAGATTTGGGTGTCTTTGACTGTGCCCTGAATTCACTAACAGCCACTGAAGAACATATCTAATGGTTAAATACCTGTGTCGGTACTGGTTAGGTTGTGACGACTACCTGTTTATGTAATTTTTAATTTCAGTAACTATCTCAGTTATGAGTATGGCGATGATGAGTTTGATTAGTAATAATAGTTGCATTTGCATCCCCACTGTCTTTTATATAGTATTTGTGTTGTGGAATCACACAGATAATGTTTATTCAGTGTCTCAAAATGAAGACATTTTTGACTAAGGAAGTAGAATGTATTTTGATTGAAAACACAATGTAATCTTCATTCTATTACTGTACCTTCTTATTACTGGGCCTCCCACTGTGTATACAGGGCCACTAAATGGTTATGACAGTCTACCTCATGTCCCCATTCTGACATCATAACACCCTGTTACCTTACTAGCAAAACAGCCTCCCTTGAATGATTTTGTATTTTAGTTTTTTTTTTAATTAGTTAATAAGTTTGAATTTCTTATATAATACTGAGCTCTCGGACAATGATGAGCATCATGACTTCCATTCTTTTGTTAATCATGAGCATTCTGGTCCACTGACAAGCTTTTTTCTGGGAGTTCCTCACTGGTCCAAACCTAAGATTCAGTTCAGCTAATAGCGGCATACAGGTGAATCCCCATCTATTAGGGACAAAAAGGGTAGCTTGCATGCTTATTATTGTAACTCACATTATTTCCTGAGCCTGCTTATTAATGCACTAAAATTTTTATATCCTACCAGCTAAGCTTATTTTTATATATCATAAGTATAAATTGCTATTTACGTATTATGTATTTATTATTGGCTTTGGTATGCGTATTAATTGGTATGCTGTTGTGAATATGAAAGATATTTATCATTTTGAAGGGGTTTCTGAAGAGCTACAGTCTATAATTTAAAAAAATAATAACATTCCCATATCAGTAATGCATCACCTATTTTCACCCGTAATTGTTGATTATGCATCTAGAAGGCATTAGAGCTCATGTTTCATTTTTGATCTCCTAAATGACAAAAAGTGTGGTGTCTCATGGGTTTTAAGAAATGCGTGCTTAAAAGGCAAACAGGTTTGCTGGTTTTAATTACACTGGATGAGAGGTGCATTTTCACAAATGAAAAAGGAAGGGTGCTCTGGAAATGTTGCTGTAACATGAAGTGGTTAGGCATCAACGGTCTATCAATAGACTCCAGCAGCACAGTCAACCAAGAGGCGGCGAAACGTGTGACCACTCAGGAGGGACCACATGAGGGATGTTGTCTGTAAAGCAGCCCCTGTGGCTACAAATTGATTTGGACGTCATGAAAAAAAACACAAACCTAAACTCTGAGCTCATCAGATGTGCCAGAGCTCCTCCAATATCTTGCGTCCTGGGTGCAGCACTACATCCTGAGTGTCTGTATGGAAGACAAACCCCTGGATTTCATCCCAGTGCTCTAAAATCTCAAACAAGATGCAGAAACCAGGAGGCCGGCGTGAGAATACAATAATGCCTGCCACTACGTGGCCTGTTCTGTCAACGGCACAGCCTTCTTGACACGCTTGACACACTGTTTCGCTGGTCATTGGTGAATGGGCTGAACAGCGGCGACTGCTTACCCTGTGAAGTATTTCTCAGGGAAAAATGTAATAATGTAATAACTCCCAAATAACCCTCATCTAAGCCCAGTACGTCACGTAGTGCTATTACGGTAAGCAACCCGCAATCCAGTGAGCGCGCTGGAGCACTGATGCTTTTCGGGTCAGTCTCGGATTGAAACATCGTGATCTGACCTGCTCCGACACTTGACCCAGCAACGTGTTGTTTAGATGGGTACGTCTGCCACACGCCATCAAGTAACTTTCCTGGCTCGGGAGTTGTTTTTCAGGATGTGTGAAAGAGCACGCTTGTGATTTGTGTGCAAGACACCTGCCAGTCTCTTGGCACGCATGTGTTTTGATCTAACGATGGACGTCTGAACCAGGCCGCACCTGACATTCAAGCCCTCCTGTCAGACGAGCCTTTACAGTTTATGAAACAATGTTGCTCTGATTGTTTATTTAGAAGCTTGTGTCCAGAAAGTGTTGCAGGAAAACTGCATAAGGAGATTAAGGTGCTTTATTATTGCTTACATTTAGTTCTGTTTTGAGATGAAATTAGATGATTTTTTTTCTGTTTTGATAATGTAATGTTGATTACTGGAAGAGGGAGAGGGTGAAAATGTGCAGTCATGTTCTTAAGGAGCTGTTGTACGTCTAAGGAACAATGATAAAAAACTGGAATAAAAATACAGGAGTATTTTATGTAATAAATATTTCTCACAGTACCTCCATAGGGAATACATTGAAATTAACAGCATTCAGACTAGCTGTTGTCCACAGTTCGTTGGCTACAATCACTAGAATCATTTCTCTACCCTTCGATGTGTTGGATAAATGACTACAGTGGGCATGGTGCCAGTAGTTATGCAGCCAGTGTTAAACAATGCTATTTTGAATTTGTCAAAGTTAAATTAAAACTTAAATCAACTACAATAACACCGATAAATGGCAAACCCAGAACTTGATTTATTGTTTTTTGCTGGTCAGAGCCATCTTCTTTCTATGAAATAAAATCCTGCAGAATTTTTTAAAAAAAAACTTCATTCAAAAAAAAACACACACACACATGAACTGGATCTTAAGTTGTGGTTCTGGATTTCAGACATGATGATGTTCCACATTTGCTTCAAGAGATTTTCCTGTGAGTGTAGAATTCCTTTTATCGCCTTTAACACTTGCATCGGAATGTGAATCACCCCAAACTTCTCCGGATTCGTTTATTTTAACCTTAATCCACTTGTTTCCCCAACCTTTCCTTCCCTACAGCGCTGTTTCGTTTCGTGTGCAATGTGCTCTTCATGAAAACTGGTAATAGTGGAAGTCTGGACTCAATGCTTCCCATAGAGAAACATGATAAGAAATAATGGCAGCTGCCCAGAAAGTGAAGTAGGTGAGCCGGTGAAAAATGAGTGCTTGCAATGGTGGCATTACCCTCTGGATGTGGAGTGGCGTTACTTTGGAAATGTTACTTGCAGGAACCGTTATGTCACACAGCTGGTATGCTGGCATTGCCGACACAATTGGACACCAGCCACTGGCCCAACTTTTTATGTTTCATTCTCCACCCACCACGCTGGAACCTCCAGTTGTTTCTGCACGGCTCGGGTGACAGCAGTGACTCTCATACTGCACCGGGAGAGTGAAGAGGAGCAGGACACATTTTCCCAGCCTGCCCTGCTGTGGATCCCTTCCTGCGCTGATAGTCGGCTAACTCCACGTCTCCTGACAGGACTGCAGGTGCCAAGCGGAGGAGCAGCGCGGCTCTTACTGACATGACTGCCAGCCAGCAGGCACCCAGGAGGGCACAGGAGCCTCCTCTGTGCCGAAAGAGCTGTCTGATTAATCCCAGATCTGCTTTGGTGGTGCTCTACTCACAGTGTGCTGGTCCCGGGGTGATATCAGTCACAGTCAGCTAGTGACCTCACCCAGCCAGGCTCAAACTTGCAATGTCTAGATCAAAGAGCTCAGCCTGCACTCAGACCAAGACCTTTTACTGCTGGAGCCACCTTGGGGCCCTCAGATTTCAGTTTTTGGTGATAAACAATGGCATTTAATTTCTGGGAAACCTAGTTTACAGAGCAGATTTACTGTTAGTCACTATTGAATTTTGATTACTTCCGGTTAGAAGATTAATATTTTCTGGATCCACTGAGATCGCACTCTCAGGACAGACTGACACCTTAGAAGTGTTACGAAGCGTCTTTCAGGACCCTATGCAGACAACACAATCCGGAAGGGAGTGAACACACACGGGGGAGGATGAGGAACAGGGCTGGTAGAGGAACTGGGGGGGGGGGTGGATATGCCGAAGGTGCTCTGGGGGGCGTGGTCCAGGCGAGTAGTCCAAAAGGGAGTCCAAAGGGAAGTCCAGTGCAGGCGAAGTTCCAAAGCCAGGTGATAAATCCAAGACGAACAACACAAAGTTATAAACTGGAGTGGAATCCGGCGAAGGGTCGGGGGGAAGAAAGGGGGAACGGAACCAGGCGCTCCAGGTCCCAGGCTCGGCTGGTTCAGGACACCCAGGAGGCGAATGCCACCCGAGCCGCGGACGTAGGGCGACTCGCTGATAGGCGTGTTCCAATGCAGAGCCCGGGACAGAGTGAGCGTCTGGCTTTTAAAGGTGGGCTGGAACAGGGAGCAGGAGCACAAAATCAACTAGAAAGTGAACGAGCCGGAGCGCCCTTAAGGAGGAGGGACTACAATCGTGACAAGAAGTTAGGGTATGATTTGCTTTGGGCTGTTTATAAGATGATGTGGAGATCTACAGTATTTTGTGGCTTTCTCAGTGTTTGGATGTTTGATGAGGTGTTTTTGTGCATGTGTTTTTTCTTGAGACAGAAACATCCTGATTTGCCATTTGATTTAGATTTCAGAGACTTACGCCTTCCTACCACGAGAAGCAGTGACACGGTTTCTAATGAGCTGTTCTGAATGTCAGAAGAGAATGCATTTAAATCCAGATGGAGGAGATCATAAAGGTAAATTTACTAGTGATTCAAAAGTACATTTTTTATCCTTTTGTTCTAAAATGACTTTATTTACTGAACAGAAACTCGATTATTAAACTTTGTGTGTTAAATATAGCAGCAAATTGTAAAATAAAATTTGGCAATACAGCTATTGCATTGTGTACTAATCAGTTTAAGAAACTACTTGTCTCGTTAATGCAGGAAACGTTTGCAACACACTTATATTAAAATTAGTTTTTACTGGAAGGATGCTTAAAAATCAACAAAACATTACACAAAAACCAATGAACTGCATTTATATCTATATCTAATGTAAAGGAATAGTATTTCATCAAACCTAAAGGTGACATTTTTACAGCTATTTTTGTGGTTCCTTGGTAATTCAGTAAAACCTCAAATTTTATACTGTAATGGTTGATCACTTGTCCTAATTTCATACTAAGGCTATGATGATAATGAAAATTTCCAGGAGTTTGAAAAATAGAACTCTTAGAAGGAGCTTCAGGGTAATGGTGACATTTTAAGAACTCGCAGCATGATACAACAAGAACCAGTTGATATTATTTCCTATAATTCATTAAAGAATAGAAGATGGATACTTGAGAAGACAGTTGTGAGGAATCGGGGGAAAACAAACTGTTTCTACAATGAACAGCAACAGATTATATTCAACTGAATTCCATCTATCTACCCCTTCTTCCAATTCAGGGTAGCAGGGGAACCAGAGCCTATCCCAGCAAGCAACGGGCACAAGCCTAATTGGCCCTGGTGTGGGTGTGTCTGTGCTTGTGTGGGGCCTGTGATGGACTGGTGTCCTGTCCAGGGTGTACCCTGCCTTGTGCCTACAGTATGCCTTGCTGGGACAGGCTCCGGTTCCCCCGCGCCCCCGAATTGGAAGAAGCAGATAGAAAATGGAGGGATGGACATCGCAGACGTTACAGTAAGGAGTCTGCAATACAGTCTCTGCCCATTACAAATCACTCCGTGTGTCCTTTGCCCTTTTTTAGAAAACGGGAAACCGCCTACGTTGGTGACGAGTATAATTGACTATAACATGCCGATCACGATGGCCTACATGAAACACATGAAGCTCCAGCTGCTGAACTCCCAGAACGATGAGGTAAAAGAAGAGATTTACGCTGGGCTCCTGCATGCACAGAGAGAACTTTTGGATGGGTTTGAGTGATTGGGAGGGATTGAGAGGTGTGCAGCAGAACTGTTTGAGATGAGTCTTCGGAATGATACAGAAATCAGTCAGTTATGTTCATACTTATTCTTGAAAGGGGAAAGACTCCTAAAGTGCATTTTGCTATGATTTGTTTTTTCAGAAAAACATCTGCCTCAACAAGCTAGATACAATTTTTAAGGGAGGAATATAGACTGGATGATTTCTTACAAAAATACATTTCTTGTATCTTACGGAATTGAGAAAGATACCTAAAATTTTAGCCCAAAACTGTTGTGGGAGTATTCCCCTGTTCAGAATGTTATGTAGTGAATGGATTGACCTATTCAGCAAAAAGAGAGAAAATAAGTTTATGCGACTTCATGGGAGTTTCCTTTTTCCATTTCTGTGAGAAATGGCAGTGGCAGGCTGAAGGAGAGGGCTTTTTGTTTAAGGGAATGTCCTTCTAATGTTAATGGTATCCTTGGTTTTTGTCAAACCTGCGGCTTATGTGTGTCATGAATAAGATAAAAGGACGGGGGTGAATAGGGGTGTGTGACAACCTGAAATTGCACTTACAAAGGGAAATATGTGTGCTCTGCCCTGCACCATCTGTTGGTTTTCATATGACGGCGAAATTCATTTCATGCACGCCCTGTGTTGTAGGAAGACAGCTCTCTGGACAGCGACGAATTCGACATGAGTGACTCCACACGGATGTCAGCAGTGAATTCTGACCTCAGTTCTAATCTCGAAGAGAGAATGAGCAGCCCGCAGAACCTCCACAATCAGCAAGATGGTGAGTTTTCGGCTGCGACGAAGGAGAAGCACAGGCCTATCAACATTTTACAGAAAGAGAGCGATAGATCATAGGCTTCCTTCAGGCAATTCATTTCTCTTACCATACCTCTAATCAAGTTAAAAAAAACTTATCCTCATTTGGGTGATAATAAATATGCGTTTATCAAAGCCATGACTATGAAACACCCATATTAATGAGAAACGAATCATGTTCATTTGAAGCACAACTTTATAGGGAACAGCTCTATTCAAGAAGGCTTTGTTGGCAAGCCTTTCGCCCTGATGCTGCACTTGATATTATGACTTTCAGTTGAGCTGATTATTGCCAATGTGTGGAACGGGTTATTACTTGCCAGCGCGATAAGGTCTGATCTGCACAGGTTGTTTTGAAATGCAAATATTTCACTTTCATAATAGGTCATAATGATGTCAGTCAAATCGTAGAACTTTTGTTGAAAGCAGGAAATTTTTTTCTTATTCTGGTCATGCAAATGGATTACCTAGAAACACAGTTGCTTCATGTGAGACTGATATAAACAGCCAGATAAATAACATGTTTATTTACACACAGGTTCTTAAATGAATCCCAGTTAAAATAATGAGAGGGTACCACTAACGTCAGACAATTTGTATACAGTGGCAGCTCATCAGGTGCTACTTTCACTCCAAACCTGGGCATAGCATTTTGCTTCATTCTGACTGTAGAATATGATGCTGCGCAGACCTGGAAATTTGATCTATTTTGTGATGTAAATTGGAGGTTTTATAAGTTACTGTGTACATTTGACTTTTATTGTGGTTTGAAATACACTCATCAATGCCGATTCTTTATAATGCCGAAATATAAAAATAACGTTGCAGTTCAACTTTCATTAATGAAGGAGTTTTATACAGTGGATTAGTCCAAAGAAAAGAACCCTGTAGGACAAAAAAAGATGATAGAGGTTCTGTGGTATTATACCACACTGTACTGTACGTGCCACTGTGTGTGCTGATCAGAATGTCACGTACAATCATCACTATGTACAGTTTCAGTTATAAGGCACATCTGGAAACAGGCTTAAGGGAGGATTCAATGAGAGTCGATTCCACTGCGAACTGTATGAGTTTGATTCTGACAGGTTTTAGTAGCTTCAGAAAGGAAAAATGAAAAATATGCTGATAATTGGTACTGTAGGTTAGAGGCTTTTTAAAATGACACTTTTGATGGCCGGGGGAAACCAAGCTAGTCTAGAGGGAAGAGCTGATAGTTTGTTTTTCGTTACTCTTTTATGCATCATTTATGTAGTTGCGTACAGTCACATTTTATTAGGCTCCTTATCCAACTGCAGCTGCTCAAAATGACGACAAATGAGCCTTGTGCTCATGCTCCAGAGCAGCTCTTACGAATTTACCTTGCGATGACATCTGAGAAATGAGTCTTCTTGTAAACACCCACCACAGTGGGCTATCCCTTCAGTTAGAACTCAGATTAGTGCTCTTTGAGTGCTCCTCCAGTTGCCACTGTATTCTGGATGAAATGAGCTCAAATGCACTGCAGCAAACCTCAGGGCTGCACAAAGCAAGTCTCTACAAGAGTTTATGCTGGTGTTTTTTACAGAATTGCATTGCTTTTAGAAGGCTACATGAGTTAATTCATTAAATCGGGATCTGTTGTTTGTCTAATTGCATTTGGATAAAATAATGCCTTGTGTCATGCTGTATAATATTGAACACACATGGGACGTTTTGTAGACCACGCATGTTTTTAATTGAAAAGGCCTGATCCTTTTTTTGTGAAAGCCAAACTCTATGCTGGTATTTCAATGACCAGATTAAAAGGATTGTGGAAAACCGGGGGCTAAGGTCTAGGATCCAGCGAGCAGGAGCCTGGATCATGTCACTGTGACCAGGATTCTCCGAGTAGTGGCTCTGTGCTACTAGAGGCAAAGCTGGGACAAGTCTGGCAAGGCTCCCTCACTCTGAAACGTGTCAGGCACCTGCACTCTCTACTGCTGGGAGTAGTGAGGGAGCACTGAGCCTAACCAGTACTGAGCCTCCCGTCTGTTGCTGCGGAGCCTGTAGTTTGTGAACAGATTGACGGGTCAATCGATGGGCAAGCCAGAGACGTCTGTGAGCACCTCTCCGTCTATCCATCCTCTCTGTGTGGATAGACCGTGGGGGTTGTTGCCGTGAGCCGAGGTGCAAAGACACAATTAGCGATGCCAAATTGAGTGGGTAAATAAAAAAAAATACAAAAAAGGGTACTGTAGCTCTTCTTAACAAATACTTAAGAACAGGAACATAAGAAAAGCTACAAATGAGAGTGGGCGATTTGGCCCTTTCAGCCCTTTTAGTACTGATTAAGCTTATTGATCTGGGGATCTCACCCAGCTGTTTCTTGAAGGAAGTCAGGGTATTGACAGGTATCGACAGCAGGGTTGGGTAGTTTGTCTCATACTCCCACCACCCTCTGCATAAGGACATGACTCTTGTTCTCAGTTTCAAATGCGCTTCCACCCAGCAAGTGTTGCCAGACATTACATATAATTCTAATAATAATAATTCCTTACACTTTATGTATCTCTTTTCTGGACACTCCACTCAAAGCGTTTTACAGGTAGTGGGGACTCCTCACCACTACCACCAGTGTGCAGCCCCACCTGGATGTTGTGACAACAGCTATTGTGCGCCAGAACGCTCCCCACACACCAGCTCTCAGTGGGGAGGAGAGCAGAGTGATGAAGCCAGTTCAGAGATGGGGATTACTAGGAGAGCACGATTGGTATAAGACATCACATCAGATATTATATGTTTTACCATTTCATGTTTTCATGTAATGATTTTTATCTGATTATTCAATGAAGCAGCTGCAGTGTTTTTAATAAAAATGCAATATTAGGATGTATAGTACTATATATACTGGTGTCATGTCGCACCATTTTACCAGGATAACTTCATTTACAAAGCAGGTCCATGAATGAGATTTGATATTCTAATTATTCTTAACTAATTTGTGACTGGGTACAATGAAGAAATAAAGCAATATCATATGTCATTTTTTATTTAACTTTTTTTCAAATGCATTAGTATTTCTAAGGCTCACGATTTTATGATATACAACTGTGTGGCACATTTTAATATAGTAGTTTTACCTCTTCTGTGGCATCTTCCATTATCATCTGCTCTACTAAGTAATATCACCACAGATATCATTGGAGTCTGTTCTTAAAAGTTTGTTAGCAAGGAGATCACACCATAAGCACCTAATAATTGCTTTTTGCATTAGATAGAATGTGCGTGGGGTTCCAAATACCTGATAATAAAAAATAAGCAAAAAATAAAATGTAATTTACATAATTCAATTACAGTATATCTTACAGATTTTAGCACATTTATGAGAAAACGTGTTGCTGCTTATTTTTTTTTGCTGTAGTTATACAGTGTGAATACACAGTATTAATATGAATATCCAATACATATTGCGGTTACATCAGAAAATGTTTTATACAGTAGCTCTAAACACACTCCTCTCATTTTGAACTATCATTCATTTTTCTCAAACTAAAACTAATTTTCCTACACAAAGCAACAAAACTATTTTTCCCCAGAGAAATCAACAAGAAATATGTTTTCAAATTTCACATCAATTAATGCAATGCAGGATACAGTACCTGCTGTACTGTGAATGCTCACCCAAAAAATCAAATTGACCACTAACTGCATCAAAGTAGACCTTGACAGTACTTAAGCATGTGGACAGATGAGAAGAGGCCACTTGTCTTATCTACTCCATTTGGTAGTTAAAGGGGAACTGCAGTCCCAATTTCTCAGACCGGTTATTCAATCTCGGTAACAGAATAAATTCATTTATATCATAGAAACAAATTTACAAATTTCAAATGAAGCACAAACTTTGTGAGAGTACTGTAAGCCGCACATGTTGTTGCAAGCTCGCATTGCGAATTGCGACATGATGTGTCCCTTCCTGCTCACTAGTCACTGTAATGACTAATGTAATGTGATGGGGATGTCTGCCTGTTATGCCTTCCAGCATGTAGGGGCAGCAACAGCCTGCTGCTGTTACCATAACATTAATTTCTTACAGGGCAGGGTTGATAGCCTTCTGCCCAACCTCCAACATGGAGGACCTGGTGCCCGAAGTGGGACATGAACCCACTACGCTGAAATTATGAGTCTCATGCTCTATCAACCGAGCTAGTCAGGGCCCGGTAATATGGGAGAATAAATAAGGTTGTGCAGCACACGTTCCAGTGTGATCTGCATGCAGAGCTAATGAGTGAGTAGTATTTGTTGGCAAAACCGTGTCAAAGTCAAGAGCTATGGAAGCGCATTGCTGCCACCAGGGAAAACAAAAACCTTGCCCTTATCTTGTAATTACGAGATAGTAATTCTTGCGTACTTTATGTGATCATGCGATAGCACAGTTATCATATAAAACCTATAACAAGTAGGTATCTGTGTCAGCATGTGTAGGCTGCAAAGGAACAAGTTAAAGGTTTATTCCATGCTGAAAAGAGAAAAGAAACAACGTTTCAGCTGTGAAGCCCTCACAACCAAAACGTTATTTTCCTTTTCTTCTCTTTTCAGCATGGAATAAACCTTTAACTTATTCATTTAAACTGATATTCAGTATGTAAGGACAAAACAACTGCAATGTGGACAGTAGTAGAGGGAAGTGGACATCAGCGAGGGAAGTGTGACCCAACTACAGTATAGAGAAAAACAGCAACCTATTCACTGGTAGTTCAGAGGCTTTGGTGGTTCAGTGATGGCATTTTCTCCTGGGTTTGATTCCTGATCAACACAATGTGAAAGGGGAACTGCAATGCTATTTTTATATCATGGGGCAGAAAGAATCAGCATTGATGAGCGTATTTCATCCCACAACAAAAGTAAAATGTAGACAGTAACTTGTGAAACTTCTGTAATGGGAGCTGGTCCAGGCTCCCGCGAAGTGTAGTTCAGGACCCTATGCAGACGGTATAATCCGGAAGT